AAACAGCTGCAATCTATGGGTCATATTAAAATTACACTTCACAAATGGCAAACAAAAAGGCGTGAAGCATAAAACAGCCTTTATGTACACATAATCTCATGGTGGTTCCACTTAGTATAAAAGCTGATTTCTGGCCTAAAATTGTTGTAAGGATGACCTCAATGTTTAACCTTCCAGAAATCCTGCACATGCACACTGTAGTGTTAATTTCATGTTCAACTTTTGAAACAGAGTCAGGTTGGCGTAGTGGTTCTTTCCTCGCCTTCCACCTCTGCTGTTCGGGTTTGTTCATGGCTCGGTCCACCTGATTCAGTGGGTTTTACCCACAATTTTTTCTGGGGTTTTCCTCCCATCTCTAAAACTGTGACTGCTTTTCATTTCAATGTGCCTGAGTCTTCAAGTATATGAAGTTGGTGCATCACTTGGAAGAATTTAACTGCTTCATAATTTCATTTTCCAGCAGAAAAAATGGAAAGTTTATTAAGGGACTTACAAGTCCACATAAAAGGAGAGACAACTCGTTTAGGTGCTGTCTTGTTGGGATGCATGACTTTGATGACATTGCTGATATTTTTCAGAGGGCTGTAGGATTTCCTCTTGCTCTGCTTTTTGCTGAAGGTTGTTTAAAAACAAGGGGAACTGTATGCATTTTCAAATAAATAAAATGTTCCAAATCACAAGGGGATTATTAATAAAGTCTATAGCTGTCTAATTGCTCAAGAAAAGGAACCATACTCAGGCATCTTATGCATGACAAAGGCTTTACTCATTGACACATTTTCAAAATAAAGAAACAATGTCCTCTTTCTAACTTAACTCCATGAAAATTTTTGATAGGAACGTCCCTGACTTTCTAAATTTCAACACCATACAGGAACCTAATGTCACAGCTTTTATTCCCTGCAATGAGACAGCAGCAGTATGGATGTTATAGTTGTGAATCTTTCAAGTATAGCAAAAGCTGTGAATGATGGATGCATAAGTTGGCATGATCAAGATTTGTTTAGTCAAATTTTTGCACCAGTGAAGAAGTCTCATCATTGTGCAGAATGTTTGTTTTCAGGACAGGGTCTACTTCTTCAGTTCTGTTAAGTACACGTAAACCTACATGTGTACCTCATGTTTTTGGAGCGGGGAGTTAAAGTGAGAAATGTTTTTTCATCTTCCTCCTCACTACTGGGTTGTGTCTCCACCTCATTACAAACCACTTCAATATCAGCAGGCTCGGAGCTTGAGGTATCTGATGATGGGGAGTTACTTGGTACTAGAGTTGGTGAAATTGAAGTTATTGGTAGAATGAAAGGCAATGTCTTGCCTTTGGAAAAAAATCAAAGAAATTGATACATGTAAAACAATAATAATAGTCAGTTCTTATACAGCGCATATTACGGAATGTCTCAATGCGCTATTGCACTGATTATCATCATCCCTGCACACTGGGCTCACATCTCCTGAACATTCCTGAAACCATCTCAGCTCCCTGGGGAGTATACTATATAGTGACTCAAGTTTAGAGATATTCTTCTCATGATGTGTATCCAATCCTAAGATTAAGAACTGCTTTTGAAGCACACCTTTGTAAGTGTTCTGTGTGGATTCTTAGGCTTTATGCCCAAGTTCCTTAGCAGTATGTTGAGAATTCTTCAAACAGTACAACATGTAGGAGCTCAACTTAGTACCAGTTCTCTCAATTCAGTTTGTGTGTATTCAAAATAAAATTGTTTTATCAAGGATATCTTGAGCTGCAGAGGAGTTCCCACCATTTTGCACCTAACGAATTCAAGGTACATGTACAATGTGTAACCTCTTAGAGGTATCAACAAACCCTAGGAAAAATAAGAAGGAACCAGAATATTCATTTCAGGCTTCAGTTGTTTCCCTAAAATATCTTGGAATGACACGCTTTGTTGCCAATGAATATACGCCGATTGCTCCCTGTTTGCACATAATGAATACATTTGTCAACTGAAAATGTCCTGGATTTCAATCACTGCTTGAAGTATGCAGTCAAAGCATGGTGGTACAGTCAACCACCATGTTTTCTGGGTCTACATGTATGTACATGTGCCTACAGTGTACATACATCTAAGAACATGAAAGGCCTATGCATCGTTTCACAAGTTTTCAACTGCTGAAAGTGCTTTATAAAACTGAGTTTTATAACGTCCCATGCAAGGATAATTTCAGACCAATATATAAAATGGAGTTTAAAAATTGAGCAGAACAATAGTGTAAAGGTATTTTAAAAGTAAGGATTGCTGCGTTATGATGCTTGTGTTTATAAAGTCACCTATAGTTATAAACACACCTGTTTGAACAGTAGATGTTCCGCTGCTGGTATTTTTAAAGTTGGGTGTTGGATCAGGGATGAATTTCTGATGTGGCCGAACCTTGGAGTATGTTTTTACAAATATGCTCTTCTTCGTTCCTGGGAAAAGTGCATCAGCCATAGCCTAATTGTATTGACAAAGACAACAGTATTCAAAGAGTTGGAGAGTAAATGTACTTTACATCCCGTTGCAGTCACTGTGACAAGATGGAAATCAGATGTAGTGCAATATCAGATCTTTTTCCTTCAAAATCCTCCAGAGCCATGGATCACAAAATTTAGTGAAATGTTGTGCAACTGAACTTTGAACTTCATTTAAAAATATGTAAGGCAGATATTGCAACTTGGGAAGAGTTATATACAGATGCCACTTGACACCCTAAGCACAAACCCTATGAAGTTTTTCTGCGCTAATACCTCAATATTTTTGCTGATAAATGTAACTGTTTAGGTCATACTATTGCTTTCAGGTGGTAACAGGAGAGAAAAATTAGTGGCGTCTGTATGGAATTCTTTCCGATTTTTAATCGGAGGACATGTTTGTCCATATTAATTCAGGCCTCAGTCCAAAAGGGGAGTTATATTTGGTTATATTCTGCAGGAGAGAGTTCCAGATACCGACGCTGCTTGACACTATGTGCACAAACCCTACATGTATGAGACTGGTCTGAAAAACTATAAGTATTCTCTCTGTGAATACCTGAATATTTCCCCTGCTACTTTTGGAAAGAGTTCCATATTTAGAGGCCAGTAATTATTCCTTACAGTGATCTATTAGCCGTCAGAAAGCAAAACCATGTCTAGAAAAGTTCAATTTTGGAGGGAAAATACCAATTCTTTTACTTGGAAAATACCCACTATCTCTGTGACTACCCTCCCTCCTATCGGAGACCATACCTACCTAGTATCGGGGTTGAAAATGCTCCCATTGGAAATTTTTCAAACCAGTCTCATAGGATTTGTGCTTAGGGTGTCAAGCGGCATCGTTGGGTCTGACGCATGAGCAATGTAATAAACACAAACGGCATAAACAGTATGATCATCGTTGGGTGGAACCGAGAAATTGGTGGGTGAAAATATCATTTTTTCAAAAAAATATTCAGTGTCATGCTCTGAAACCCTGAGTGACTTTGAGTTCTCGAAAAAAGGTTCAACTATGACTTCCGCCATGGTTCAACAATGGTAGGCATGGGAGGTACATGTACCTACTAGGCCGGCATCTGTATTGAGTCAGCAATATGTCGTTAATTAGCATTAATCAGTTAATATGAGACATTAATATGGATGATTACGACAAAACTCCTCTCTCTACGTGCATTTCTGAAAAAAGTCACAAAATACAGTGCCACCAAATCTGCGCCCGTTGGCGTCAACGGGAATCTCAAAATAAGGTGTGAGGCACTTTTTCAGATTCTGTATTTTTGAGGGGCACTCAACTTGAATATTTGGCGAAAGTTGATCGAAGTCATCATTAGTGCCTGTACTGGACGTCCAACATAGAATGTAAATGAACAGCTAGCCCAGGTAGACTCCCTGACCATACTACGTTACGGAGGTAATGAAATGAAGACGATGTCCAACTGGGCTAATGAACAGCAATTAGGCCTATTTATCCATTTTCTAGACAATTTCAACTGGTTCATTTTTGTATTTCATCTAGGCGTAAACCTAACCTCAGGCCTCAAAACATTATCCTCCGTTGATATTTTTCCCGAATTCTCCCTGGAAAAGCTTTTAATTCGCACATAGGTGCAAAAAGAAAAACGTTGAAGTGAAAAGCGATCATCGACAGCACATTATCATCAGTGCATGGCCCTATTCATGCTATTGTATGCGCGAATTTAGGGTAAGCCTAGGCCTTTGGCTCTACTCCAGGATACTCGATAGGCCTAGGGCCTTCTACATTAATTCACAAGATGACAGCCAAAGAATACTCTCAATTTTAAACCTCAAAAACAAACCTAAACTTTGGGCATTATCCTACTGTCACTGACACGATGTGTTTTATAGCTCCATAAATGAAAATGACACTTACGAATGCGTTTCTAGATCCGTCTTCTTGGTTGACAGCGGTCTGGAGTCTTGTGTATGCGGTGCCGATGGTGTACTAGACTGCGCCAGGCAGGCAGTACTAGGTTAGCTTGGTATCCTGCACTGGGCATTTTAAACTATACTACTCATTTTGGTGTATTACTTGAACATGACCTATGGGGCAAAAAAAATCAGAAATATTGGCTCGAACAATTTTCTCATTTAGGGGAAGCCATTATGGCTAGTTTAATTGCAAGATTTCTGTTTGAAAGAATGTGCTTTTCTACAAAATTATTATCATCATGTAAAAAATTACTAATTCGGTATAAAGTTATTTTATTTCAAAGTTATTATACCTTTTATAAATACAACACAAAATTCATGTAGACAGTAAAGATGACTTCCCTTTTGATGAATAGTCTGACCTTAAAAAGTTGTCATGTTGTGTATATATATACGACGCGTGATGAGCGCCCGCGAAAATTAACACTGTCGTCTGCTCACGTGAAGTTATGGCGCTTAGTTTTCAGTAGTGCATATTTTCGATAGTTTCAGGTTCAAATACCATGCCTCAAGTTATTAAAATGTCGACCTAGATGTACGCTGTATCAGTGAACACGCTAGCGGTAAGTGTCAGCATGTTAGTGTGCATGGTGGATCTTGGAGCGTGCGCGGCAGGCTGCACTCATGATGTAGGCCTGCGTGCATAATTACAGGAATGATAACGATGCGTACGCGTACGTACGTGTGGTGTTCCCCGCTCACTTGACTTAAAGACCGTGGCCAAGTCAAATCTGTAACTGCGAAGAGGGAATCCATTTTGGAGATTATTGTAAGTGTGTTGATACATCAACCACCAGTGTCTACCTTGTAGCCTGGACCTACCCAGTAATGGAGAGGGGGTGTAATTGTCAGGTTGTAGGGGACTAGGCCCCTAGGCCTAACCGCTAACGTTAGGCCTTGGCCTACTCCTGTTTTTATTTCCTTTATTCTTTTGCAGTCGTGCGATACAAATTTATACAAGTAGCCTATTTAGCACCCGAGTTAAACTTAGAAGTTAGGCCTGGCCCTAGGCCTACATGTACTGTATTTAGTTGTGCAGCAAGCTAGGATGTGCTCATGATTCATAGTAACTTAAAATGCTTGCAATATTCAGACCTCACTTTAAGTGCGGGGAAAAGGCATTTTAAAATCATTTTCTAATTGTAAAAGTTTTCCAGATTGGTGTTCTTTGATAAACATACCTTGTACCGGTATGGCGTACTATTAACTTAATTTGAAAAGTGAAACACCCTTCAACTATATTTCAGGTCTGATGACAGAAGACATGATGAATACAATATTTGACAACTCACCGTTCCATCTTGTACCATGCTCTCCATATATCGGAACAACGATCTCAACAAAATCCCAAGCTGTGAGAGCTGTACCAGACCTTGGGGAAAATGCAGATACAATGGTAGCTGAGAGTCCACGATCTGCTATAGGTAAGTAGTTCAATGGTATGACTGCAATCTAC